ATTCTCACCTGGGAGGTAAACTTCACACCCGAGCACCAACAGGAGACAGTTTGCAGGAGTGAACTTGTGCACATGCAAAACACACCAGGAAATGTGACGTTCAACCATCACGTGACACTGACATCAGCGTAGGGCACTTCGCTGCTTCCGTGTCACTCGTCATGTTTCTGGTCATTCTTATTAACAGTCTTAATGTTTTTGCAGGGCCAGACAAATAAAGCACTACTTTAGAGGCAAGCACTTCAGTTTTTGTTTCATTATAATGTATAACTCTGCATTCTTGTGACCTCCAAATAAGGAGCTTATGGGATCAGCAGTGGCATAAATATTGCTAATGTCTCATTCAAAGTCTGTCTCTTTGAAACATTACATTGTATTTATGGCTGGCAATCAGTATTGATACCCTTGTGAGGCCTTGCCAGTAGTAATGCAAATTGATGCCAAGTGGAAGAGAGGAGAAAATCAAATCATGAGACTGAGCAGGATGCCCAGGAGCTAACCAGGCAGAGGCAGAGGGACACCTGAGCTCTCCAATATGATTATTCACTGGGATAATAGATCCTGCCTAAAACACAGCCTCTGTACACGACACAAATACTGAACAACATTTCAACTATTACAGTGTTACCGTCAGACTTCAAAGACAGACGCTAGCACCCATGCAACTCTGGCTTCTCATATTCATATCACACACATGTGCCAACAGTAAATGAAACAAAGGCACAAATACAGCAGCTGAAATGAACTGACACACACGCAGGTGATATCTAATTCAAGCAAATGTCCCATCTTTACCCTGACCCCGCGACCCTGCATTATTACTGCGCAATATAAATGACTTTGAGGTGATTCTCAGTTGGCCATGAAAACACTGGATGATGGACAGTATTAACACTACAGCCTTGCAGGGTGGCTGACCTGGTATATGTGTAATTAATGACATTTAAATGTTCTGCAGCCTGGCACACAGGGTACTGACTCTGCCTGTGACGATGTGTTGCAGGCACACGGGGGAGCGGGCCCAGTAATTCGTCCTGTTGGTGCAGACGGTGTTTGTGAGAAGTGAGGTAGCAGGGACGTGAGTGGATGAGTCACCAAGGCTGGATGCCATTAACACAGGGCTCTGAGAATAAAGAGGAAGAATCTGCAGTGAATTGGGAGCCTGCAGAGGACAGGTGTGATCTTTTGGTGAGATGGTATTGAGGTAGGCTCCTTATTGCAATCCTTTTTTCAATGAAATCACAGAAGCTGACATTTACGTTACAGAGCTTGGATCACACCTTGAAGTGTGTGTGTAGCTCCATTCATTTCTAAGAAAAACACAAAAAGAAGTGAACAGTGTTTTTTATTGATGAAGTCCAAAACTCTCCTGCTGGTTCTCACTCCAGCCAATCACAGCAGATGGCCCCGCCCCTCCCTGAGCCTGGTTCTGCTGGAGGTTTCTTCCTGTTAAAAGGGAGTTTTTCCTTCCCACTGTCACCAAAGTGCTGCTCATAGGGGGTCATATGATTGTTGGGTTTTTCTCTGTACCTATGAAGCGCCTTGAGGTGACTTTTGTTGTGATTTGGCGCTATATAAATAAAATTGAATTGAATTGAATTGTTCTGTGGTTTATCCCTGTTGGTAGTATTTACTACACCATCACAGTTACTGGTTTAAACAGTAGGAACACTGGCTGTTCTTTCTCTCCTCCACTCTCTTCCACCATGAAAGGATTTATGTTAATCAGTCCCTTTGCAGGTGAAAACAGTTCTTTAATAGCATCTAACTTAATTACTGATTTCTGTTGTCTTCAGATGTTTTCAGGAACATACCCACACACCAGTGGTGTTGATCTGTGTGCTGTGCATTGGCTGACTTTTGCACCTGTGCTTATGTGTTCTTATCATCATCACCCATCTCTCCAATCAAACACAGGTGCTGTACGGAGCTCATGTTTCCTCAGATAATGGGTTCAGTTATAGCACGCTCACATGTGCACTGCTCCCAGTGTGATTTCACCTGTCATGGCCCTGAGGTGACGTCCCACAGTTACACTTCCTTTCATCAACTCGTCATGTGCTGCTTCTTTTAGCTGCACTGAGTGGTTCACGCTGACCACATATAATATTCTGTACTGAACTGTTTGTCATTGTTTAGCATAAAGTGCACAGTACAGTGGAAATGCCCAAAGCTGTGGTTCAAACTGTGACCCTGATAATCCTCCTCAGTTTGTTTTGATTCTGCCTCTGTGGATCCTAAACACCGCATCATCCTCACAGGTACGTCATATCTCACTCAGCCAGGAAACCCTGTGCAGATACAGATCAATATTCTGCCTACTGTACATTTTATGAGTTTGTGCCAGACTGAGACATTGTAACAGCAGTCTGGCGAGGAAGGAGCGGCTAGCAGGTCCAGCGGGCATGTGGTGTGGAGGTTAGCCGGATAACACGGAGCCAGTCAGTTAAATCCAATAACAGACCTTTATTCGCCGTCAGCAACATTACACTTTATAAGCCAGGTCTCCTCGGCTGTACTCGTCCGAACCTACATGTGCGGGGATTTGTACCGCCAGCGCCAGCTTGTCACAACAGTAAGTAAGGTGTTTTCTTGGAGCATGGAACATGAGCAGCATGGAATGGCTGCCGCTAACAACTCACACACCCACTAGGAGACCCCCATAGCTACTACAATAGTTGGGCAACCCCCCCTAGTGGTGCTATAACCCAAAAGGTTTGTTACAACGTGTGAGCCATTTGCTACTTTTTAATATTGTAATGATAATGATTTTTTTTTTCACTGATTAAGACCTGATATGAAATACAAATGAAATATAAATTAGTTAATACGTTTTTGGTTCCAAATCCATTTAAATTCTGATTGTAAAAAGATGTCAGATCATTTTTACAGCTTTTATTTATAAAAATAGAACTTAAATAATCATTTGGATATTAATTTTCTAACACAAGAAAGCTAAACTACGTCTCTGTGCTGCACCTGCAGTAGTTTTTAATCTGTTTCAGCTTCACATCATTGGTCAGCCTGTGAAACACGTGGGGTATAATGATAATGCATTATTATAAATTAAATATTGTCTAGAACAGGGGTGTCAAACTCCAGGCCTCGAGGGCCGGTGTCCTGCAGGTTTTAGCTCTCACTTTCACCTTTACTGGTAAAAAAAATGAAAGCTATGTTTTGCTGTCATCTTTTGTCATGCTACAGGCTCTGACCTGCCGCTGCACTGGTGCTCAGCGCATCTCAGCATCTGGACCAAACCACATCTTGAAATCAGGAGGAGGGAGGCGGAGTCAGAGGCTGACTGGATTTGAATCTTTTTTCCCAAAAACAAATATTTTTCAAAGTACCCTGAGAAGCAAACGCTCTTTCATGGTGACTAATGGACTGTCCTGCTATTTCTACGGCCCCTGTCGATCATGGGCCCCCAGAATAATCATCACTTTTCTCCTCCATATGGCGGCCCCAGCCAATCACAAGCTCCAAATTTGCTGGTCCACTGAAACTTGCCATCTCTCCAGCTGATGTTCCAACCCCTCCACCACCTCTGCTCACATGCTGTGTGTCAGGAGTAATAAGCTTGGAGCCGAGATGTAAACTACAACTATGTAATAAATCATTTGAAATGTTAACTGTCTGAGTGAAATATGATTATAGCCACAGAGATGTAGAATAGAAAAAACCTCCTGCTTCCTTCCCTTCTAGAAACTGTTAAAAAATTGAGATTAGGCGTGTGACATTCTCAGATTAACCTAATGTATAAAATATAATTCATGTAATTCAGATAATGTTGCTTTCATGCTTTGAGTTCAGACTGGTGAGAGTACTGAGAATAACATAGAACAACAGAATTAGATCGTAAAGCCATGATCACGCAGTGGGGTGGCTCAGAGCATCCACTAATGAGTTGGTGTTTCTATCTCCGCCTGCTTCATCACTGTAAAAAATCAAACTTGCAGTTGTTGAGCTTACAGTCATTTCTTTCACAATTCAACAATAAAAGTTCAGTTGGCCCATAAACTCAAATACATTAAGGGTTTCAACTAATCATTTAACGTTTTGGAGCAAAAGTTGGTCTCAGATGAAATTTATTGCTGGCAAAATGAATGAATTCAAGTTTTACATGAGTTGAAGCTGTTGGCGCCTTTCTGTGCCTGAGTACGCATGCGCATCTCATATTTTTGGATGCTACGGGGTCTACTTTGCGCTTTTGCAAGGACTGAAAGCCACCTGCCCGTCTGCCTTAATGAGAACGTGAGGCTAGGAGCTGGATAGATCGTTCATCTCAAGTTTCTAAAGGCAAGTAATGTTTCTTTTATTATATCAGACAGTATATGTTTGAACAGTCTCAATTTGTCTGTTAGAAATATCACAACTGAAGTTCTTCGTATTTTTCCGAAACTTAGCATAGCATTACTTTCTTGGCTAAGAAGCCTTGTGGCTTATGGGTATGTGTTTACTATATCATTTAAGATTCCATGTCACAAACTACGTGCCATGTCACAAAACAATGAAAATCCGACAAACTTCGCTACTAAAGAGGCGCGCTCATATCTGACAAGCCTCCGCGACACCCCCTATGCGTATTTCATGAAGTGCAGTCTGTGGCCGCCATACCACCGAACGAAACAAAATAGGCTGGCTCACTCATGACCAACGGCAGCAACCCCCCGCCGCTATTTAAATAAAATAAAATAAAATAAAGTTCGGGGGCGCCTGCTGCCATGTCGTTTAATTTGTTCGAATCACATCTAGCCAATAAAATGTGTGCTTTAGTTTCTGTGTGAACAGGGTGGTGGAGTCCTCATGGCCAGCGAGCTCCACTAAATGAAATATGAGATGTGACAATATAGTTTATATCGATATAGTCTACATTATCATTATACTCGTGGAGCCGCAAGTTTGCCTCTCTTTCGTCCACTTTTGTCTCTACGCTGTGTTACTCCGCCTCTCTCCTTCACTGAACACAACTCCCCCTCCCCATCGCTTCACCTGCAGGCAACGACAAGATGGACACGGCAGCTATCAAAGAGGAGCTGGTCGGTAAAAAGAAAACATTTGAAGATGACTATTTTAGTGCTGTCAGCGTAAAGTTAATGCCATAACTGCATTAACGGGGAAAATCTCCGTTAACTAGTTACCGCGGATCACCCCGTGCGTGGGGCTGGGTGGCGTTAGTGAGCTAACCGGGCTAACGCGTTGACACACGGCCTAAAATCCTTTCATCTCAAAAATCGACAGTCTGTCTTATGTATGAATTCTGGTTGTGCTTACTGACCTCGAACCAATTTTATGTGGTACACAGCTTAAAAAAATATGTCAAAAAATGTTTTGGTACGACTTTGGTAAGCTATGAAGCTGCACTGCTTGATGGATTGTTGGAGCATTACGGCTACCGAGGAGCCTCGCAGAGTGATACGTACTCTGCTTCAACGTAATATTACCATATTATGTGTGTAAGGACCATAAATGGCACCTGTAAGAGACACGGTTACAAAGAGGATTTCAAACTCCAGGCTGTCAGTTGCGCAGTAGAACTTGGAAACAGAGCAGCTGCAAAATCTGTCTTTGTTATTATGCTCAGCATCTTTTATTTTACATTTTGACTGCACAATTGTGAGCTTTTTGTTATGCACAAAACAACATTGTTTTGGTTTATTTATGGAGCACCATTAATAAATGCACTGATAATTTAAACAGATGCTTCAGGAGTTTTATCCCACTCATACTCTCAATCCAATGTTTGTCATTCTAAGTTGTAAAACCAATCACACAAAATTATCCTTGGCTTACATAATACATCCCAGTACACTGTTGGTGCATTCTATGTAGAATACAATTTGTTAATTATAAATTAAATAAATTAAACATTTGATGTAATGTATGTTTTGTAAATTATTTGTTTTACTGTGTTTCACATGGCATTTTACAAGGCAGAATCAGCTCACTTTAGTGAGCCAAAAAAATTCTTAAGTAATGTCAGGAAGCTGGTATTTTATTTTAAAACTAATTGCTATTTTTATTTATTTAGAGAATTAAAAGCCAACTCCAGACCACTGCTTGTCCTGATTTATGAGGGACTGATGAGGAGTTGGTAAGGAGAGGAATCAGAACAGGAGTGCCTGCCCCCCGCCCCAAACACATTATCAGGTAATGTAACTTTGGTAATTTGAGATTAATTCAGGTTTCTTTTGAATTGTTGACACTGTCCTCTCCTCTCTTCTCATTATAGCTTTTGTATGCAGTGCCAGTTCTGCTCTTTTGTCTGTTCAAGCCAAGAAGTACTCTTAAGACATCACCAGCTACGACATAGAAGAGGATTTCATTTGCCCTGTGTTTACAGTGACTGCGTCTGTTCGTTCAGGACACGAGGGGCATTGAAGTCTCACCTCAGCAGATCACACAACAGGGCTAAGAAAAGGCAGGAGATCTCAACATTTTTTTGTGATTTTTTGTGAATTTAAGGAAAACTGCTCACAGCATACATTTATTTCACATATTTTAAGGCACTTAAAAAAAAATCAGACTGTATCCTGTCCTTTCCAAAAATGTGACTATGCTACCAACAATTTATCAACCTTTACGTCACACACAAGCAGAAAGCACAAAAACTCAAAAGATATAAAAAACTGTATTAGACTGATTTCTCATGCAAATGCATGTCCTAGTGAAAGTAGCTCCCCTGATAAATCCTTAAATACCTCTCAGGAGCCAGAGACATTACCAAGTGGTTCAGGTGTAGCATCAAGTGATAAAGAGGACAATGAGTTTGTAGATTACCAATGTCTTGAACATAAAATAGCTAGACTTTTTCTATGCATGCAAACATTGTTACATGTTTCTAAAAGTGCTTTGCAGAGAATTATTGAGGAAATTAGTGACATTTTAAAATTTTCTCAGGTTCATTCATTTCAAAGAATCAAACAGGTGCTTGCTTAACAGAACATTGAGGCAGATGATGATGTAATTAAAAATATAAATGATGCACTTTTCAAAACCAACCCATTAATTATCTCAACAGAACCAAAAGGTGAAGAAGAGGGATAAGAACATGGCACTCATCACCCAAAAGATGGACATCACATTCTCTCTCAGGAGGAAAGAAGTTGTGGAGATGCAGCCCTTGGTCAAGGAAATGCAGCTCAGATGGCCAGCTCTCTTCTTGAAAGAACAGGTAAGATAATCTCTTAAATATTTAAAGGAAAACTTCCGTTTTTTTCTTCTTCCCTTTTTCCCCAGTGTGGTCTTATTTCTAAAATTGAAAACGTTCATTTATTCACCCAGAAAAATTTCAAGGCATTTGGAGTTGCTAGAAAGAAATTTTAATCCCAATGTTACGAGTCAGTCGTTTTGCAAGAGAGAGCTGAGCCACGGTTATGGGGAAAGGATTCACTGAGACAACTAAGAAATGCCTGAATTAAGCCAAAAACCACTCTGGAGGGATTTTAATCTAAGGAAATAACATTAAAATGTGTTTAAAAGCTCCAAAAAGTTGATTTTACATGATATAGGACCTTTAAAATTCCTTCTGAACAACTCCAAATGCCTCGAAACTTGTCTGGGTGAGTAAATGAACGTGAGCTCCATTTCTTGTGCCCTTGAGAAGCATCTGTTTGTATCACTCCAATATCTTGTAGAAAAGGTTGAAGGCTACCGTTGAGCTAACAATGCTAGTGGTAAAATATAAAAAAATACTTGGCTCTAAAAATATGAACTCTATTGAAGTGAAATCTATTTACTTGTCAACTTGCTGTGTATAATAACGGATTGCTTTTATTTCGCTCTTCTCTGGGCACCCAAAGCGCTTTATAATTCCACTACTCACTCACTCACTCTCACATTCACACATCGGTGCAGGGAAACCACCGTTGTAGCCACAGCTGCCCTGGGGTAGACTGACAGAAGTGACGCTGCCATATCGCACCACTGGCCCCTCTGGCCAACACCAGTAAGCGGTGGGGTAAAGGGTCTTGCCCAAGGACACAACGACCAGGACAGAGAGAGCTGGGGATAGAACCAGCATCCTTCCGGTTACAGATGAGCTTCCCAACCCCCTGAACCACGGTCGCCGCAATGACTTGTCTTCACTGGGCATCTAGAATCTTTTGGTGCTGACCCTTAGCAGGCAACAGCCATGAAACTCACAGAACAGGATTGAGAAAGTCACTTACGTGTTATGAAAGTATACAAATTTGACCACAGGATGTTATTCTTACTTCATTTCTACATAACTATAAAATTAATGGAATTTTTTCAATGAATTTAAAATACAATTTATTGATTTATTTCTTTTCTGCAATACATCCTGTAACAATTGAAACCATTATTTTGTCTTATCAACATTTGATTAGGTATTCTATAGACTTACTGTAAAATCTGCCGATCAGATTTTTCTTGGTTTTTTTGTTTTTTTTAATACGTCAGTTATAATTTGTACCACCACTACCACTAAAAGAAAAAAAAAATCCAATCAAGGCCTGACCAATAGATCAACCGAGACTAACTAAATGTTTTGAAATTAAGCTCTTTTAACCAAATTTGAAAACAATGTGATTTTTATATAATGTACCTTTAAAAGTTTTCTTCTATATTTTTTTGTTCTCACGCATTACCACCAAGGATCTCATGGGGACCTTCATGACTGCCCTCGACACTTACTCACTTCGGCTGATTAAGCTGTATCGAATTAGAAAAGCTGCTTTCCGCAATGACATGGATTCCCTGTTGCAGAAGTTTGATGAACAGGTAATATATAAAAATGTATTTGTGTGTGGTTTATGAGGAACCTGAAGTTCCCACTGTAACGAAAGATACTTTATTAAATATTTACTAAATTGATGTAAAAATTGTTAGTTTTCAAAAAGTGTGTCCTGAATGGGATTATAAGCTAACAAGCAGCGCTGTGTTTGGCAGATTGCAGGTAATGACAGACAGTTCAACTCTCATCCCACTCATGGCACTTTTTGTTATAAATGTTGTAATAAGTGTGCTACATTTGTTGCACATCAAAATTACTTAAAAAATAAATAAATAAAAAAAACTGACAAAAACATGACCAATTATCTGTAATAACTCATTTCAACATCTTATTTCTTAAGGCTGTATTTTAGCAACAACACTTAATGTGCTTTAAAAACAAAATGGTAGGTTTATAAATGAGGCTGAGTCTTATTTGATTTCCTTGTTTTAGGTCTCAAACATAGTCCAGCATCGACGAACCATCAGTTTGGAAGGGTTACCGATATTTGTTCGCGACGACGAGACCAAACTCTTCTTAACATGTCTGGTGAGTATGCAAATCTACTCAATCTTCAGTTTTGGTTTTCAGAGACTTATATGTACTGTTGTTTTTTATTTTGCATAGGATACAGATCCAGTTGAGAGGGCAACCCGAGGTGTTACGGTGGGCATCCTCACTGTTCTGGAGGACTACGTGGGACCCAACTCGCAGTCCACAGTGGTCAACATTGCCATTGTTTTGGAAGAGGACATTATTCTTGATGATCTGCCAGACCTTCCCACTGCCTTTGCCTACTTGTTTGGCCTACTTTATGGGCTCAACATGGAGTTTCCCAAAGAACTCAAGTACACATTTGAAGCTGTGCAACACATTTTTATGGAGTTGACATCTACCTGTTACCAGAGGATAAGAAGCTTCAAAACCAAGCTCTTAACCAAAGTATAACCTATTTGACAACCTGTTCAACTCAAATGCAACTTGTGTAAAACAGAATGGCAATTTGTTTTGATTTACTGTTTTTGGGTTTCGTGGCAAGTTGCTCTGAAAAAAGTTAATTTCTGTCTTTAAGAAAACGGTAAGGTGCAGAAAGTTCTGAATCAATGTCTTCTGTTCTAACTTTACTTAATGTAGCTTGCATGGCTGATTGCAGATTTCATGTATAACATGTTATTATAAAATGTTGAAAGGTTTTATTCTAACTTGAGCTGTTTTAAACAATTTTTATAATCTGGTTTTAGGTACATTTGTATTAGTTTTATAACAAATGTGGCGCGATACTGAACTTCACAGGAAATTGGAGTGTTGATACCATTACTATTAAAAGACAAGTGGTGGAAAAATTTGTTTGAAAGTTGTTAGCTGTATGGAAACCAGGAAGTTGTTCACATCCTGCCATCTGATGTTTTGAATCTGTTTGTTAGTGACTATCTATCAAGATAGGTTTGATATTCTGTCTGACAACACCACCTTTAAAATTGGATGAGTAACATTTGTTACAAAAATTTGACTTTTTTTGTGTTTTTGGAAGGACTTTATTTGTGGCTGAACGTTGTCAGTATGTTAAAAATGGCTGATCTCAAAAGTCAACATTGTCAGTGGTGCAGTTGTGTTTGAACACAAAGTTATTTGAAAATCAACTGTGTAAACATTCATTGGTACAACAGGGAGCACCTCATGAAAACTATGAAAGATACTTTTTCTAAACTTTAGGAAATTGATTGGCAAAACAAAAAAAATATGTTGTGTAAACTTTAGGAAATACGTTGCCAAAACTAAAACTAATACCTTGTGTAAACTTTAGGAAATACGTTGCAAAAACAATAAAATATGAGTTGAGAAAAAGGACAATTATTAATTTTGTCAACACAAAAACATTAGCTAAAGCAACTTATCACCTAAACTTGAAATTATAAGTTATCCATCAGAACCTAAAAACGTAAATGCAGTCGGTTGCCTTGAGTTTTTAAGTTTTAGCAACGTTTTTTTTTTACAGTGTAGGTGACACACTTAACCCCAAGTGTCTCCTGATGTGTTCACATGTGTGAATGTTAGATGAGAATGCTGCGCGATGGGCGAATGGCACAAGCTGTATAAAGTGATCTAAGCAAAGTAGAAACAGCACCATGTGTCTGTGTGTTTGATACTGTATGTCAGCCTTAAGTGTCTTATGATAAATATCCCCTTTGCCATATCCTATCTACCTGCTAATGAGAAAACAGTCATTCCTTCTCCCCCTCACAAACACACGACTTTCTCCACCTCTGCTGTTATCTCTTTCTGCCAACAACAGGAAGACACTGTTGGGTGAAAGTCGGGGGAAAGACGAGGCTTTATCGTTGTTGATTGCATCTGAAGCAGGGTAACTGTCCTCATCGTCATTCTAGGACATGTCTGTTCACTATTTTACTATTTACCGACCCTGTCAGCTTCAAAGCTCTGTCTGTAGCTTGTTTATGCATCCCTCACTAGACCTGCCACTCTCACTTTTATAAGCTCCACTGAACTCTCTGCCTCTTCTACTTCTGTTTGCACAGGTGGAGTTTTCATTGTTGGGTGAGCAGGTGAAGTTTCTGCAAATAGCCTGATCCTAAACGAGTAAGGCTCACACACTCCTCGACACTCTTTCAATACAGTAACTATTGTCATCAGATCACTTCGAGTTAGCTTGAGAGGTCCAGAGACACTACGAGAAAGCCTCATGAACAAATGCAGAAACTACATTTGGAACAAATCTCATTTGCACATTCCCGATTTTATTGCACTGCTTTTTTATGCTGTTACTTTCCAAAATGTATGCAGTTAGTAGAAGATGTGGGATTTTTTACAAGAACAACAAGTTGTTCATACCTAAAGCCTTGCATATAAACACCAGGAGAATCCTGAACCATCTAAGACAAATTCTCAGTGGCAAGAGAACAATATGGGAACAGCCTCACCAAGGCTGGAGACAGAGCAATTCTGGAACAGTATATGGGAGAAGCAACACATAAGAACAATGCTCAGTGGTTAGTGGAGCTGCCATAGCAATGTCCCTGAGCAGGCTCCAGTAACCATCACAGTGGCAGACATCCAAGCATGAAGAGTTGGGCAGCACCAGGCCCTGACATGATTCAAAGCTACTAGCTAAAGAAGCTAACAGCGCTCCATGAGCATCTGGTAGCACAAGTGAACCAGCTGCTAATAGATAAGACACCCCGAGAATGCCTGACTGAAGGCTGTTAGACATTCACTAACCTGCCACAGCGTCACGTGGAAGCTCCTGCTATAGGCATGAAGATGAACAGGCCCAAAACATAACCACCATCCAGAAAGGAAAGAGTTTGGTCCATATTTACATGAGAACGTCACACAGCTGCTGGAGACTGTTTGTCTGCACATTCATGGTCTGAATGTCTGAGCACAGTGGACACACTGTTATGTGCAAGAAATCAAGATGATTTCAGTTAAATGACAAAGCAGCAATCAGGAGGATTGCTGTCCGATGTTTAGCATCTCTAATATCTCTAGCACCACATCACAAGTCTGCAAGCCAAGCATATGCTCCTCTTGCTGTCTGCATGTGCGCTGACGTCTTACTCTGCTGACTTTGCTTGCAAGTTTACTGGTTTTCATTAAGTCACGAGATTTTCATTTTCCTCAAAGATGAGATCGGTCTGAACATGTCATTCTTAGAAAGAGAAAACATGCAAATATATGAGGACCAACACAGTTTCTAAAAACCTAAACCAAAAGACCAAAATAATATTATTCTATTAGTTCTAACAGAAAAGAGATAAAAAGACACCGAGGCAGAAAGAAGAGCTTAGCATTTATTATTTATCGTGGAGCAGAATAAACTTGATGGTTGCAGACAGAAAAAAAACAGTATAATCACCATGTTTGTTTCCCTATAACACTGCATGTGTGTGCGCACGGCGTAGCTAGCAGCCTGTGGACTGGTCCAGCAGGTCTGAGCCTGCGTGCTGCTCGTCATCCTGTCACAGTGGATGACTCCTGACGCGACAGCAGCTGCTCTGGCCTCAAATACCCCTGAGACAAAGAGAAGAAAGGAGGGTGATAGATGGAGGAGAGGAAAGAACAAGAGTGATATCGCAAAAGATGGTGAAAGTGTGTGTGTGTGTGTGTGTGTGTGTGTGTGTGTGTGTGTGTGTGTGTGAGAGAGAAAGAGAGAGAGGTATGTCAGCAAAGAGCCTCGATTTCCCCAGAGATGTACTGACAGAGAGACAGATTGATGAAAACACAGAGAGCTTGGAGTTTGGAAAGCAGGCAAGTGCCAATTCCTCCTGCTAGAGTGGACAGCTTCCAACAAGCCCTGCAGCACACAATGCCACCAGGATATATCTGAAGAAGCTTTAAACTAAAGGAGTAAAAAGCAGACTGAGCATCAAAGTAGAGGCTGGGAAATGTTATAATTTGCTTTCCTTGTTTGTGAATCCAAAGCAGGAAATTGTGACCTGCTTGTTGTTCCTCCTTCACCGTTTAGCTAGAGTAAGGTGCTTCAAACAGTTTTGTATGTGTGGTTAAAAAGCAAATGATTTCTCATGACTACAGCAATCCCAGAAACATGAAACAGCAGAACGTTAGAAGCCATGGCTGATCTCCAGGTCCAACATAAAGACCTGATACGTGATGATGTGTCTGCTGCACGAACTTTAGAGACATGATGCAGACTCTAACTGGAGCTGCTGGTATTTGTTCTGCGTTTGGTAACTCTCATGCACGTGGTGCTTATTCATCACAGTGGTGACATATTGAACTATTGCTTGTCTTTACTTTGTTGAGCCGTACTTGTCATAATTATTATATTATATCACCAGATCAACTTGTTTTTTATGTGTTGCTGATCAAACCATTTTGGCTCAAATCAGTTTGATGTTAAATGTCCCTCGACCAAAGTAACGAGCCTTTTGAGAGATTCTAGTACAAAAGAATAAAGTCTGCACAGGCACAGGTCACCATCAGGTGCAATGTACTGTTTATAGCAGGGGTCACCAACACTGTGCCCGCGGGCACCAGGTCGCCCGCAAGGACCACATGAGTCGCCTGCAGGCCTGTTCTAAAAATAGCTCGCCATAACAACTTACCAGTAAGCTGCATCTATTTTTATTTTTTCTTGCTATTTTTTTTATCACAATTGCATTGGTGTCAATTTGTTAGAGATAATATATAAAAAAAAATTTATTATTAAATTAGATCAGTGCTAGCTGGTCTCCACGGAAACAGTTGCCGTGAAGACCAGCAAAGGTGAGGAGATGAGGAAAACATGGCGGAAAAAAAGGAAGAAAACATATCATTTTCACAGTGAATGGGAGGAAGAGTTCTTTTCTACCACTGTGAAAGATTCATGTGTGTGTCGCAACTGTGGCAACGGCAAAGCGGCACAACGTGGCGAGACATTTCCGAACGTGTCACACAAGCTACCATGCTAACTACCCAAAGGGCAGCACACTGCGAGCGGAAAAGGCCCGCGAATTAAAGGCAGGTTTGAGCAAATAGCAGTCTTTTTTCACGAGACCAGTGAAAAACTCCCAAAAAGCAACCGAAGCCTCATTTAGAGCTACACAGTTCATGACTAAGAAAAAGAAGGCATTTTTAGACGGGGAGGTTTTCAAAGAAGCAATGATGATAATTGCAAAAGCTGTGCTTAACGACGAGAAGTATGGAAACGATGTAATCTCCACTCTCTCCGATGTCCAGCTGGGGGCAACTACAATTGTTAGAAGAGTGTCGGCTATGTCCGGGAACTTGGCCGATCAGTTGGATCAGGATCTGGCAAAGTGCAGTTGGTTTAGCATCCAGTGTGACGAGTCTGTGGACAGCAGCAGTACAGCACAGCTGATGGTCTTTATCCAGATGGTGTTTGATGGTTTCTCCACAAAAGAAGAACTTCTGACACTACTGCCGCTAAAGACAACTACGAAGGGAGTTGACATCTATAACACGGT